GTACAGAAAGAAAGAGCGGATCTGTAGATCGTCCAGGTGGTCCTTACCCCCAGAGCCTGCATGGGCACTACACTGACTTGAAGGGCAAAACCTGAAACCCATGCAAATGTGATCAGCAGAGCTGGCCTTGATTGGGACGGCCGCATATGATTAAATATAATTGCAAAGAGCCTTTTCCAAATGCCTCGGTGGTTTTGAAAAAGTAGGAAGGAAGGATTTAAAACCCAATTCCCAGCTTTTTTCGGAGAAATGAGAGAGAGAAAGGAGGTGCGTGTGTGCTAGTCAGAAAAAGTGAATTTTGCAAGACGGTGAGACAGACAAGTGATAAAACTTCTAAAAGCCTTCTTTCAAATCAGGGCTGGTTTTTACATGCACACACCACGCAGGGAGGCTTTGCTGGCAGATAAAGTACACTGGGGTTCAGGGGCAGGCCCGTCACACTTGGATGATTGATGGCTCAGTCTGAATGCTTAAGTCAACAGAGCATGAGCACGTCTCAGCAGCCCAGCCTAGTCCCTCCACTCAGCACCTATTTAAGGGTCAGGTGCTTCAGAACGCACTCACTGTGCAACTGCTCCCATTATCTTATCAAAGCCTGCACTGAGGAGTAAACAAAAAGGGGAAATCACCTCTCATTTTTGAAAACTATGGACATGTACAATGTTGTGACGTGCAAAATACACATTTTATGAATTTTGCAAATGAACTGAAGGATTAAAGGATAGGTTCAGATTTTTTTCAAGTCTGTCTCAAAACAATACTCACATGTCCTTATGTACATATTGTTAGTCACTTGAAATGTTCCTCTTGTTCATTCTCATTGCGAATAGATTCATTCTTAAAGCATTTAAATGATAGGGATGAGTAATCTGCAGTCTGTTTTTTTTAAGTGTTTTTAGCCAGACTTGAAAAAAATGTGATCCTTTAAGTGATCTGTTATGGATCACATTTTTTCTGATATAATTAGCTACTCTCAGTAAGTAAGAAAATACATGTAATTCCCAAAATGTCACACCATTTACCTCAGGAAAAGTTCATGTCTTGGAGACTCTTTAATTGACGGTGATATAAAACAAAACCTCACATTTGACAAGATGAAACAAGAGAATGCATTTTTGCTTGATGTATGACTTCAATGATTAACTCATTCTCAAGAGGTGTTTTTTGTCGATCGACTGATTATTTTACCATCAGCTTTCAGTATGATAGATGAGGTCCCACATGAAAAAAAGATTTTGTTTGAACAGTTTGGATCATATCAGGTTAGTATTTATGTTTTTGCCTTTGCTATTTTAACTGTTTAAGTTCTTTGAACCAATCAAAATTTTGTAATATTTGAATCAAAATGTGATGACAGTTGGGGTTGTATAGTTATTTTGTTAGATTAGTTTGAGAGGTTTGGAAGAATGTTTTATTCTAAACTTCATCTCTGATTGTTGCACATTTAGTAATTGATCTTTAATGTTATTTTCTTTCTCCAAATTGTTTGGATGTTTTTAAACCATGTTCTCAGGGGCTTTTACGCTACACGAGTGTGTGCTTCAACTAGAGCACAAGCATTTGGGATAAGTGTGGGTGAGCAGAGAAGGAAACCATTTTGTGTGTGAATGTGCATGAATGCTCCTGTGCATAACCCTCCATTGTGAGGAATGATTTGGAAAGTACTTGTTTGAGAGGGCAGGTGTCCACCCTGCTGATCTGTGGGCTGTTCCACTTCAACACCTTGTCACCAAAACCCCCAAAGCCTCCTCCAAACTCTCCACCCACCTTCCACTTCGTGTCATAAAAGAATCCTGGTAAGAAATCTGTCTCTTTTCCTTTGACTTTATAGTATTCGACTCCCATGTCACTCTGGGTGTAATTAGAAAATGTGTATTTCCTCATCTACATCTGGGAGAGATGAACATGTTTACAGTTCACCAGGAGGCCTCCCATTGTTTTAAAGAAAACCTGAGTCTTGTTTTTGAAGTTTTGGCATTCTTTTCTATTCTTTTATGATAACATTTTGCTCACCAGACAAACTTCACAACGGAGTGCATTAAGGAAAGTAACAGGAGCGGTCAGACAAACAGATGATAATTTAATTTGGATAATATAGTTAAACTGGGGATTTGTTTACAACCTGTCTGACCACTCGTGATCCTTGCCCTTATGGACTCCTTTAAGTCTATTTAGAAATGAGGCTGTGAGCAAACTTTTTGTGAAATAACTGATAGTAATGATGGTCAAAATGATAAAAATAAGACCAGAGCTTCTAAAAAATAAACTTTAATATGAAGCTGTTGTAGGGATTGAACCTGTGCTCCTGTGTGCTCTTGAACTACCAGGCCACCCATGTCACAAGCATAATGTGCCAAATATATAAACAGTTAAAGTTACAGAACATTTTGGACAACAAAGAGTTCTGGAAAGTCACAGATAAATGCCTCAAAGTCGCATTATGATCTTTACCCCTTAAGTTTCCACGTCAAACCTACAAAAATCAAACACAGATGCACTACAAATACACTCGTACATCTGAGTCTTCAGTGGGGTTCGGTGCAGATTGGCGACATCACCAAGGCAGCACTGAGAGTGTGTTTAAACAAAGTAAAATTCAATTGTGTAGATGTAGCTGGAGTTTGAAATTTGGTCCATGTGCTGTGCAAACATGTTTAAATGCAGTAGATATGTACATATACAATGGAGTGGAAATGTCTGTTCGCTACTTTTATAACCCCTTCCCCCAAGAGAGAGAAAGAGAGAGCAAAAAAGAGCAAGGGAGAGAGCAAAATAAGCAGAAATCGAGTCAGGAAGTAAAGAGCAAGAGACAGATCCAGACAGAAATGGTCCTGTGGTCTGAGTCATTTTCATCAGTGTGTTTGTCTTCCACTCCAAATGAATGGCAGATGCTACAAGGTGGGCTTCTAACAACAGCAAGGCCGCTACAACAAATAGCACATACACAGTTCAGATTTATCTCTGTGATACAGTGTTGCTGCAGTCTACGTTTGATTAGGAGCAGGCACAGCAGTGAGCTGCGAGGAGATAAGCTTTGAGGGGCGGAAGAGCGAGGAAACTGAGACAGCTCTGACATGCTGTAGGTCTTGGCTGGAGTAGAGCCCAATAAATCGCCTGGATTTCAAGCTCTGTCATGGTTCCACCCAACCCTGTATATATGCGTGTGTGTGTGTGTGCATGTCTAGGCCTATTTGCAGATGTCTCCCCAATAGGCGTACAACTCTGACACACCCCTGCGTATATGAGTATACTGTATGTGTGTCTTTATGTGTGCGCGTCTTCCTGTGGGGCCTGCAGCTGTGACAGGACCTACATCACAACACAAACATCAGGAAAATAGCTCAGGACACAATCACTGGATCACACAAGATCAGATTCAGTGACTCAGCAGGGGCCTGGGGAACACTAACGAAACAATCACATGTAGACAAAACACACAGACAGAGCACACACACGCACACATACGCAGACGCACGCACACACGACAGGAACAGCATTTAACCTTCACTCTGTAGGGGGAATCTCATCTCTGATTTCCCCAATTTCCTCCCGTTGATTCACTCGCTGCTGGAGCCAGATGAGGACGAAGATGGCACAACAAAGGCTGGCGCTCTTGATCTTCCTCCTGGTCATCAGTGTCCACATCGTCATCCCAACCAACCCCCCCCTGCATTCTAACTCGCCCACCCGCTCACCCACTGCTACCCCTCGCCCCCATGGGCTGGGTGCCTCCCAGCTGCAGCCTGGCTCGTCCTGATTGCGCCTGATTTGGGTTAAGTGATTATTACCCTGCTGCGGTTTGGGTAGGGACTCTCCCACAGGCTGGAAACAAGGAAGGAGGGAGACCTCTCCTTCTTAAACACACATACACACACACACACACATATATACATACACACCCTGTCTGTTTAGGTGTGTATCTAAGAGAGAAGGACAGAAAGAGACTGCCTGAAGGGAAAAGATGAGTGTAAACACACATAACAAAAAGACATCAGAGAGAAACGTGAGTGTGTGTGTGTGTGTGTGTGTGTTGGAAAGACAGTGAATTAGCAGCCGTAATCTTCCTCAATTACACGCTAATTGGACCTGTGGAGGCTAGCGGCAAGTGACAGCACTGTGTGTGTGAGTGTGTGTGTGTGTGTGTGTGTGAGTGAGTGTGTGAGAGTGTGTGTGTGTGTGTGTGTGTGTGTGAGAGTGTGTGTGTGTTTCAGCAGGTGGTTTCACACTCTTGCCTCATCCCTCTTCCTCCGTTCTCTTTGATGTCGACCTGACAGACTCCTCTCAGCCAATCACAAAGTTTACTTTGTGAAATGAAACAGCAGCAAAGCCTCCTGGGTGTTTCTTTCTTACAGGACACTTTCTCTCTTCAGACAGAATATTAGTCCTGTTGAGTGCCAAACAAACTCTTACAGACTTTAAAGTGAAATCCAGGCTGATTCAGGTTGCGTTTAAAGGAATAATCCGACTTCCCAGATGGTTCTGTGTAACAAACAGCTACAGGTTATCATCTAAATGCCATCGAACTGCAGGTTGTAGTCTTGTAGTCTCCCACACACTCTAATAGACCAGAAGTCTTCAATACATCAACGTAATGTCTGACGGAGCTGTTGGAACTGTTTCACTGTGCTGAAAACGCAAGAAATCAACTGCAGGATTATTTATGTGCTGATTTATAAATATGAAATAATGTCGGTTGGGTTTAATTACAGAACATCCAGACTCTGAAAGTCGGAGGTTTACCAAAAGGATTCATATTTCTGTCTGTAGGTCTGTAATGCAAGTGGATCCTGCCTTAAACTTGCTCCTAACATATTGATTGATAGATTGATTGATAGATAGATTGATTGATTGATTGTCTCCAGAGGAATCCTGATATTTTGATGATCTGTTCTGAATGTAACTTCATACTTTCAGTGAACTCGTCTGTCTCATGTTGAACATCACATTGGAGTCACGTTATATTTCTGCTTCTCACTTCTTCTTCTCTTTCTCTTATTCTTAGCGGCCGCCGTCCGTCCCGACCGGCGAGGCGTTTCGTTGGTTCTTCTAGCCTTTTCTCCACTGACAGAGTCGCAGCTAGAGCTAGACCATCACATATGGACTACAAATCAGGCTCGGATACATAAAAAAAAGGGACTACAACTTCTGGAACTGAACCAGATGCTTTGCAACAGGATTACAATTTCATACTGTGTGGTTGACAGTTTAGGACTACAAATCCCACCTCAACTGGAGCGGGAACCAGCTGGGAGGACAGAGACAGAGGAGGCGGTTTGGTCACAGGACACGGGACTGTTCGGGGCGATGATGCCACAACTGCGTGTTTTCCTGAACTTGTTTGCAGGTACATTTCGGCTCTTAAACTGACGCAGCTACAAACAAATGTCTGTTTATGTACATGTTAGCATCACAGTAGCAACAAGCGGCTAAATGAGACGACGGACGACATTAAAGCCTTTACAGCCTCGTTGTGTTTAGACTCTCGCAAACTGTTCTAACTCACCTCTACAACTTGTAGATTTTAATTACAAGTTGGAGGTTTAGTGGTGTTGACGACCTCGTTTTAAGAAATGATCTTGAGCTGAATAAAACCTGTGAGAGTCGTAAACCTTCGTTCACCACAGAGCTTATTTTCCAGGTTGGACTACAGAAATATGTCGTCCCTGCAGCAATCTATTGGCTATTGCCTTTTATAGACTGGTCGTCACTTCACTTGGTACCAAAGATCGGCCGTTCTGTTTAGTAGATCTCAGATTTGGGTAAGAAGGTTTGTTGCTTGGCGAGCTTGGTCCTTTGTCATGTGACTGTATTGGTAAAGGCGAGGGCATATTGGTGTCATCGAGCCCCAGTAGTGCAGCTTATGTAGCGTTGGTAGATCTCTACCAGATTCCTCTAGTCATAAAGACCCAATAACAGGAAAATGTGCCAAAGCTTTGCAACAGAACATGCAAATGTAAAACAGCTTCACTGTTTGGGAATCAGTAGCCAGTCCCTAAACGCTTCGCTTGTTGAAATCACAATATGACCGATATCCAAATTACAGAAGCTGCAGTTGTTTGAAGGTAAAATGTGACAGACAGCATTATAATGAAGTTCTACTAGAGTATTCATGATTTAATTGTTTTTTCAACAAAAATTACTTTGGTGACGCTAAAATGATTCCAGCAAATCGTGAATCATATCGCAATATCTGTCAAAATAATCAGCAATAGATGGTTTTTACCACATCGTGCAGCCCTAGTTATAACAACCAGAGCTGATCTCCACATTGCAACCATCGTGTGTAAATGTGAATATATTTGTTCCATCAGATATGTGTTCACTAAACTACAAATAATTAGCAAAGAGCAGTTACAACTTTAACAGTGTGACACATCTTCTCACAGTCACATTCGCCCAGTTAAACCTTTATTCAGAAGTTATCTCAGGACATTTTCAGATGTAGACTGATGATACTCTCATTATCTACCGACCAAACAATTAATGTGTCAGATAGATATTTAATCAGCATTAGGTAAATATCAGAATCAGATCGGATACTCAGTATTAAAGAACTCATCGGGGCTGAAAACAGTCGATCGGGACATCCCCAAACAAAAATAGACGTGACCTGTCAGAAAAAGCCCATCGTTCACGGTGCTTAAACCCAAATGTAATGAATATAGTGTCAATGCACTATATTAAGCCTTTTGGAACCTCGGTCAACTTTCTCCTTTCCGTTTGCAGAGTGAAAAGGGGCGGGGCTTAGGATGATGTGAATGCTCCAACGTAAACATAAGAATCCTTCCACCATTGATCCCATATGTAAACTTTCACCACCTGTGATCAAACTGTCTCCTCCTCTTCCTCCACCTCCTCCTTGCAACCTGTAAACCCGATCATTGCCAAACCGGGAAGATTCAGGCCTCAAGTGGACCACTGCTGTCACCACAGACACAATGACAGTTTGACCAAAACCGGACGACAAGTTTAACCTCAAAGGAAAGACTTTACCACAGAGGGAGTACAAACTGACCTCAGCAGGAAGTGATCCAGGACTGTTATTAAGGACTACAACTTCACCACAGTAGGACTACAATTACCACATCACTGTTATCTGTCTCTTCTGTCTACCTCCTCCTCAAGAACTTAAAAGGCACCTTGATTGATTTTTACTGGGCTGTGTTCATGCTGGAACGACACGATCTGCTTCTCAACTCTCTCGATGGTCCAGAGCTTCTCGTGGAATCTGGTGTTTAGATTT